TCATTAAGAATTGAAATTATTAATTAAATGAGGATAATATGGTAAATCCACACTTTTTCATATTAAAAAAATTAAAAATAAAAGAAAAATTAGATAATGGATCCTATTTTTATGGAACACAACTACCCATTATCTTTTTTTATTCTAAAATAAATTTTAAAAAACCTCTCGCAGGCGCGGAAGCGCGTGCAGAGAGGCTAGTATATAGATAAAATACAATTTAATCAATAAAAAGTAAAGACTCACATATTATACCAATCGATCAGACAAGCACCCACATTAAATTATGTACCTGACATACAGGTAAATAATGTTAATACATACATGTATATATCTACCTACCTTACACTTACAGGTAAGTGTTTTTTTCTTGAGTTTTCTTAAGCAGTTTTTTCTGGAGGTTCATATTTATATACATATGTACATGTCTTCCATGTAATAGTGTTTTTTTTTTTTTTTTTTTTCCAAAGAAATTTTGTATGGATTTTTATCTCAGTTGAGTTTAAAGATCCATACTAAGATATTATATGAGTTCAATTAGCTGGGCTAGAGGGTATAACTACCTAGACTAGAGGTAATTTATGGATTTAATTACCTGGACCAGAGGTAATTTATGGGTTTAATTACCTGCATACTGCATACGAGGTGTATGTATAGGTACCTTACCTATTGTTAAGGTATGAAATTTTAATGAACTCTTATTACAAATTTTGATGTCGATATACCTTGGGAAAATTTCAGAATTCAATAAATAGATTTGCAATTAAATTCAAATCAAATATGATAATTTATATCCTACAAATCAATAACTTACCAGTTTTAGGAATTCATAATTTACCTTATTTATCTTTTAGGTGCATAACTGGAACAAAAAATAAAAAATAAAAAAAAGTAAATATCAATAAATTGAAATAGGCATGTAATCTTATGTGGCGCAAAAGTCAAAGGACTTGGATCAACAACAATTTCTGCGTGAATTGCACCCAAAATCTCTCCTCATAATTGGACTTATGCCAAATTTTCTATAAATTAAAATGCGTAAATTTTATATATTGTGAGTCAAGGCTTCGAATACTTTAATTTGGGATTTTTATGTTCTCAACACGTGCTTGTGTGTTGGCTGGCTGGAACAGATTATGTTAGGCACGCAATCTTGTTTGTGGCTGGAACAGATTATGTTCGGCACATGTTGGAGTACACGTGGCCAAATTGGGGTATAGGATATTTTTAGGCTTGAAAGTTTGTTGGTTCCATATTTTAAACTGCTCAGACATGGATCAATAATTTTTGTATATTATTTTAATATTAACCAATGAAAAGGTGGTATAAGTTCAATTTTTAGGATAATAAATAATAAGGTGAATAGACACCGATCTTAGAATGAAGGAGATGGAAATGGGGATGCGGCAAGGGTTTGGTGAGAGCATCAACAAGCTGATCTATAGTGGAGACATTAGACACTTGAAAAAGACCACGAGTGACATGATCCCGTACAAACTGAAAATCAATATCGATATGTTTCATACGGAAATGTAGGACAAGATTAGCACAATAGAACATGGCTTCAATGTTATCACAGGAGACAATTGGTGTTGTGGGGAGAGGAATGCCATGTTCACGTAGTAAGGGTTGAATCCATGTGAGTTCAGCAGTGGTGGCAACAGTAGGCCGGTATTCGGCTTCGGTGGAGGAACGAGAGATGGACTGCTACTTACGGGAGCTCCAAGAGATCAGGTTTCCACCGAGGTAGACAATATAGCCAGTCGTAGACTTGCGATCATCACGATCACCAGCCCAGTCAGCATCCGAAAAGGCATAAAGACGATGAGAGGGGCGGCGACAAAGATGAAGGCCAAAGGAGATGGTACCTTTCACGTAGCGAAGAAGACGCTTGAGTGCCTGCCAATGAGTCTCGAAAGGAGAATGCATGAATTGAGAGAGCTTGTTGACTGTGAAGGAGATGTCAGGGCGTGTAAGGCTTAGGTATTGAAGACCACCAACAAGACGATGGCAGGGAGTTGCATCCATTGGGGAAGAGCCATCATGGAGCATAAGTGAGTCAGTGGTGGAGAGGGGCGTACTGACAGCCTTTGCACCATCCATCTTGGCATTGACGAGAAGATCATGAATGTACTTTTGCTGAGAAAGGAATAGACCAGTGGTTGTGGGAAGGACCTCAACACCAAGAAAGTAATGTAATGAGCCCAAGTCCTTGACAGATAACCGAGTGGCTAAGAGTCGGATGAACTTCACCACAAGTAAGGAATTGTTGCCTGTAATAAGAAGATCGTCAACATAAACCAAAAAATAAATTACAGAGTAGTCCTATTTTTGAAGAGAAAGACTAAGGCATCAGAGATGACATTGACAAAGCCATGAGAGAGCCAAAATGAGTGTAATTCCTTGTACCACGCTAGGGGAGCCTGTTTGAGGCCATAGAGGGATTTCCTCAATTTACACAAATGAGATGGATGATTAGAGTCAACAAAACCAGGCGGCTGGACCATATAGACATTTTCATGGATTGTGCCATGAAGAAAAGCATTGTTAATGTCCAATTGACGTATTGGCCAACCATGAGTCATGACAAGATACAAAACAATTCGTATGGTAGTAAGTTTGACAACCGGACTGAAAGCATTTGAAAAATCAACACCAGGGCCTTGGCAACTAAGCGTGCCTTGTACCTGTCAATAGTGCTATTGATGGTTCATATCATCACTATAAGCTGAGCCTATCAGAGAGGACCACGTGGCCACAAAGGACCAGGTCGTCCTCGTATCGACCTAAACAGATTGACCTGTCGAGTATCGATAAAAGGCCTCTTAGTTGAGCTTGTCGGGAGATACCGCGTGAACCCGTGGTCGGGCACTCAAACACCGACCCGACTACTGAGATACCATGTGACCAGAGACATGCATTGATATTCTGACATGACCAACCCCCTGTCGAGTCAGTCACTCCATGCGCCTAGTGCCAGTCTGGTGATGGAGAGGGATCATTTAATGTACTTCACATCCAAAGCCAGGTGTCGCCTTACCCCTTGATCCGTGATAAATAGCCTGGTGATGGAAACAGATCAATTAATGTGCTTCACATCCAAAGCCAGGTGTCGCCTTGCCACTTGATCCCTGATAGCCAGCATGGTGATAAGGAGGGATCGTTTAATGCGTTTCAGTTCCACCATTGGGAAAAGAGGAAGATAAATATCTCCCATCTGGGAAGACTGAAGGAGGGATGATCTCTCCTTCTCCCCCTTATAAATACTCTTCACATGCACTAGGACAAAGGTAATAAATATTCTCTTCTTGAAACTCTCCATCCTTATCTCCACTCTAAGAACACCTCTAACTTAGCCATCGGAGGGGGTTCAACTGGTATCGACTTAGTTCGCTCATATTCTGATAATTGCTCAAAGTGTGCAGGTTGCCTCCAGAGAGCAACTCAACCACTCGATCAGGGATACGCCCTAACTTTGACCCAAGTAAGGCCATCTGCACAATGGGGAGGACACCCAGCTTACATTTGGCGCCGTTTGTGGGAATTTTTGCGAACAGAAGTCGCATCCCCTCATCCAACCGAGCTTCAACGCAAACAAAACCAAGCCATGCTGAAAAGTCAACATCTTAGAAGGAAGGTCTCCTTGGGTACAGCCGGGAGAAACGCCCAGAGGTGGAAGAAGGAGAAAATGAGGACGGACCGTTTGAAGAATATGGAAGACAAGATGAACCGAATCCTGAGGGGCGTAAAGGATGTACAGAATCTCAGCAACAGCCTCCGCGCACAGAATGAAATACTGCAAGAGAGCCATGCCGAATTGGTAGAGAAGGTGGGCGCACAACAGGACCAGGAGCCGATCGGTACCGAGGATACTAGAGGAACCTCGTCTGCGTCAACGGAGGCTGAGACATCAGAGCGAGTAGCGACCGAAGCAAGGAACATACTAAAGGAGAAGAGAGCCTGGCGGGATGGCAACAAACGCAAGGAACATAACTGTTTTGTTATCTAATTACGTATATGGGATACTTTGGTTTTAAAGAATGGAATGTCAAGCATATAAATTTGATTAAATATATAAATATGTATGTGGGTATTTGTATGGGTATATTTGTAGACTTGTTTCCAGGTTAGGTTTTCTGAGCATGTGCATTGAGACTACTCTGCACATGTATGGATATTTGAATGAGGTTTGAAATTGAGATTGGCTATTTGGAAATTACCGGCTTAATAGATTTTGTGTTAATGAGATATTTTGGTGGGTTTAAATTTATGATTTTACAAAAAGGATTTAAATAAACAAGTTTATATTGTTTTCCAAGAAATTGGAGAAGAATTATTTACATGGTTTTTTTTCCTTATCGTATGTTATTGCATGAGCGTACTGAAGTGAATTATTTTCAACTATCGGTTGGTAAATATGTACGTATACAAAAGAACCTTGTTGCTTAGTGTTTTGACAATATTTTATAAAACAAAGGGGGTTATTTATGTTGAATATAATTTATGTTAAACACTTTGTTTTTCGTCCACTCACATTTTTTGTTTTGCGTCTCCAAGTCCTAGATTCCGAGGTCGAGACCACCACGTCGAGGTATCATCATTGTCTGCTCCGTAAGAATGTTCTTCTTTCACTCTCTACCTTTATTCTTTCTCGAGTTGTAAACTTAAATCTTTAGTTGCTCTGTATGCTCGTTGAGAGTGGGTAGAGGGCATGAGGCCTATTTCTTTAATCTTAATTGTTGTGTGTGCCTTTACCTCGTCCGTGTCAATAGAGGCTGATACATCGAAGCGAGAAGCTCGTATAAGGTAAAGGCCTGGTTCAGAACTAGTGACACCGAAGAGGATGTCGACAGCATCACCTCCAAGCTTAGAGATCAGGTCATCGGAGAGTTAGGGAGTGTCTGGGATCGGCTCGGGCAAGAGGAGAAATAGAAAATGCCCAGAGGACCGGAGTTCACCAAGGACGAAATCCCACTACCATATACTCAGGACTTGCTAGATGCCAGGGTAGTGGGAGACTTGAAGGCCCTAAAGATCCCCTTATACAACGGGATGATCGACCCATATGACCATCTAGATAATTTCCGTTATGCCATGGAGGGACGTGGCGCAAATGAGGCAACCAAGTGCCGCCTATTCCTAACATTGCTCAAAGGCCCCGCCACGAGTTGGTTTAAGCGACTCGCCCCGAAATCAATCGGTTCTTTTGCAGAACTCAGAAAGGCTTTCCTGGAAAGATACATGATCATTTCTGAATGGCTGTATACCGCAAACGACTTATCGATGGTCCGATAGCGACCCGATGAAAAGCTCAGGGACTATTACCCACCTCTTGGACGGACGAGCCCACTTGCCTCTTTCCGCTCTCTCTCTCTTCGGCTCTTCGTCAACCCACATCTCGGGCTAATTGCTCATCAGCTCATCTTTTTTGCGCTCCACGGATAGGAACCCTAGCTACACTAGTCGCCTAGCTCCGAGCCACCAGCCGATTCACTAGATGAGCCCTTCTTGGCAAGCTTCATCAGCCGAGCTTGCATAGCTAGATCGCTCCGACTAGGCCTCATTGCTGTAAAATACAACTTTACGTCATTAGGATCAACCACACTAATAAGGCTTATCAGACCCTTGTTGGCAAGCAGTATGTCTGCGACTTTCTTGATACCAGGCAGGGAGAGCACTTGGTTAACTTGATCCTGCTCGACTGCTGATAGCTCCACTCAATCCAATTACTATAAAAGTAGCGACAAATGTCAAGATCAATCAAACGTGTATATATCAACACGACCCACCTTATGCAACATAGCATAAAAAAAAAGTGGGGGGGGGGGAGGAAGTATATCTAAATGAATCCTGCACGTCAACTGGACCTAGCATTCTAAAGCGCCTCTATATCCTAGGTAGTCTTGGCTCTACCCCTTCAGAAAATTCTCACGCACCCGATGCTTAGAACCAATTCGGTTTCCACATCTTCTGGGATGAATGATTACTTTCAATTACCTTCCCAACCGCACTTTGGTTTATGGACTTGGTATGGATTTCTCTTCAGCAAAAAATAGTGCAGTATTTGATTTATGGTCAGCTCTGAATTATGCACCCGCTGCTATAACGCCTGGACACTTATGGTCCTATACACGTTCGGATTCATTTGATGTGGGGCTACACCAAGCCGACTAATCCATCCTTGAAGAAAGGGAGACAAGGGCAGCCGAACCCCCTGCTTGAGCATATCTGCACACAAGGTCACCCACCCAATGGGGGACTTGCTTGGCTTCCCATCTCTAATCGGCGCCTTTAAGCCTAATACTGCTCGGTATAGCATATTCCTCCCTCAAACGATCTAGCTTTTGCTGCGTCATCATGCTTGGATGTTCATCAGCCAACCACTCTCACTCTGCTAATTCCGTATCTACGTTCAATTCTATCACCCCACCTGAGCCTGAGGCTACCACCATGCCTTCATTTCTGGCTTCAAACCTACTGCCCCCTTCACCTTGGTCGGCATGCGCTACATCCTCGCCTCCCTCACCACCTGACCCAACTACGGCAACCGTGACTTCTCCCCTGCCTCTAGACTCACTACCACCTTCACTCTGGTCGGCATTCTCCACTTCCTAACCTCCTACCCTTCCTCCAGCCCCTAGGTACTAAAAGTTTCCATAGAGACCGATGGGCATATCCTCGCCCATTTGCTTGGCTGCATCATACATTTCGTCCACCATGTCTACATCATCCACATCATCCCTAAAGGCTGACCCACTGCTCGTCGTATCTTACGAATCAGACATATCGGATCGGCTCGACATGTTTGCACCTCTCACAATACTTCAAACACAATCAAGGAAGGAAGGGGTGAGGGCTAAAAATCAAAACACACACCAACCCAAGAAAAATGACGAGCAAAACACCAAACCCAAAAAAACAAGCAACTCGAATCTGACCTTCTGGAAAACAAAAGGAAAGGAAAGGAAAGTGGACCTTACCAAAAAATCCTCGGAAACGGTGCTGTGTCGAACTTCACGACCACTTACTCCCCTCTGCAACAATGGCGCACCAAGGAAACTGCTCGAAAAATTGCTCAAGCTCTCAAACTAAAACAATGGCGAAATATGGCAAAGGAAGGTTGCTCCCCCTTTTATGTATCGACGACCGAGCATCCCCAATGTCCACACATCAGCTACCCCAGCTAGGATGGCCACACGTGGCAGCACGACAGCGCCTATCAGTTGAAACGACGAAGCACGCACCAATGCAAACTCTCGCAAGTTCTAACGTCATAAGCAATTAATATGCCACATACTCAGCCAATTAACCATGCCATAAATCTTTCGTAGAGGAGCCCTACTCGGCTGGGAACTTGGGGAGCTACCTTACCCAACCTCTGTAGTATGGCCACGTCATTTGAAAAAGGCTCGGCTCACTCAAAAATAAAATCCAAACAACTCTTCACCCAAGTTCGGCTCCTTGAGTTGAGAGTTGGGGGGCAACTGTTGATGGTTCACATCATCATTATAAGTCGAGCCTATTAGAGAACACCATGTGGCCACAA